CAATTTTACCGAGTACCCGATTACTTGATCCGAAAAACGTCCGAGTAACTGATTATCAAATATTGACCGATTGACATCTCTCTCTCTCTCTCTCTCTTTCTCTCTCTCTCTATATATATATATTTGTATGTAAAAACTTGATCCCCCATTGAAGCCCTATCCTACCTGGGGGTCATGATTTGCATGTAATAACTCTTCTTACCTGCAAGTCTCTGCAAAGCTTCATTTAGTTTTTCTTTCGGTGTTTTGTTCTTTTCATACCAGTCCTGAGAAGAAGGTAGGGATGGGGCACAGGAACCTGTGGCTGGAAAGAAATATTAATTGTTAAATTAATTAGTTTTATACTACAATGCCAACTAGAAGCATGTAAGACAAAATGTGTAAATGCTACAAGAGGATGCTTCCAAATCCATATCACTAAATCATCTCTTAACTATTGTTATCAAGATTTTAAGATGTGGCCCCATCCTACCCCTGGGGGGTCATGATTTGAACAAACTCTGTGAGTTGACGTATGAGCCACATTGGATCAAGGGTAGAGAAGATGGGCTATGGAGAAGGATTTTTTATGTAACTTTACTATGACCTTGACTTTAGACCTAAAAACATGGTTCAATGTCACTGCACACCTTTTACCCAAAGGCAATCTTTGGGTGAAGTATATTAGCCCCATTGGAACAAGGGGAGAGAAGATATGCTCTAGACAAAGATTTTTCATATAATTTTGCTATTACCTTGACCTTAGGCTTAGACCTAGAAACATGGTTCAGGTCACTGAACACCTTTAACTGATTGGGCCAAGGACTAGGAGAGAGAAGATATACTCTGGACAAGGGAACTGGGATGGACAAACTGACGGATGGATGGAAGGACAGGCAGACTGATCACTATGATCACCACAGAGTGGGACCCTAATAAATTGAAGTAATATAGTACACTAAATAAAAATATAAGTGATTTCTGGCAGTATCAAATACTCACAGGAAATCTCAAACTCCATGTCTGTAGTTAAACTCCCTATGAAAGTTTCTTGTGAAATTGGTACACCTATAATTAATGAACTGATCATGTAATATCGAATGAATACAGTATATTGATAGAATAAAGTTAATATATTCTCTTGATTCTATTTTTACTGCAATCAGATATGACTTTGGATAAGAATGAATTTAACTAAATAAACTTAACCCTTAAAAAATCATGGTCAATTGTCAATAATGATAAGTCAAATTTTGCACAGATTATATGTCTAGCCTTGCAATTTATATTTTATTTTAATTTATGATAATTACTTTGAAATAAAAATTTAATCGTTCTGACTTATTGCGGTTACAAGTCCCTCTTTGACCATATTGATGGCTTTTTTACATTGGTAAGATGTACTATTTTCATTCATACAAGTGTACATACTGTCTTTATCCTGAATCTCAAATGCCATTCCTTCTTCATTTTCAACAATTTGGGTATCCACCAAGTGCGACTGTAGACATTCACCTAATGAAATGAACCAAATTCATTCAATTTCATTACACTTATGCTATAAATTTACTTTATAGGTGGTTTAAATTTATAGAGATTATAATTGATAAATGGATCAAAGCACAGATTATTGTACATGATATCTTCTGAATTTGCCAGAAATACTTTTCTGTATTATTAAAACAATAGATCTTGAAAACTTTATAGTAAATTTTCATTGGAATACAATTAGATGTCCAAAATAAAGTCATGTAGTCTACTTACAAAGTAATTTCCAGAAAGAATGGCAAGAATGATGATAACACAATAGTGAATAATCACATATATTATCAACATAAAACAATGAAAATTATTTTTCCTTGAATTTTTGACTGTGTGCATTTGCCTCTAATTGTTGTACAAATTTGTTCACACCACTCTGAAAGTAAAACAATGTGATCTTCTAAATATGTACTTTTTTTAAATTAAAAAAAATTCAATTTGTCAGGAATGGCACAAGTTGCATGCCATTGTGCAATAATGTACTAAACTAGCAAGGTATATTGCATACCATATACATGCTATATTGCATATCATATACATGCAGCACTGAAGTTTCAGAATTTCATGAGTTTTATAAAAAATGTCCAAGTGCTTTCTACTTAACAAAGGATTTTGTCTTATATGTATAAAATCATTAAGCAAAGAATCCTTTGTCATTCTCAATTTTTTTCTAAAATTTCAGGCTCATAGAAAGCAATTTCAGTTGGGGGGAAAGGGGAGCAAGGCCAATCAGTTTGAGTTGGGGGCACTATCAACTAACAAAAATTTCTTGAACAAGCTCAAAAAAAGGTCATCAGTTGTGAGGGGCCACATGTATATATATAGTAGCTAATTTTTCTACAGTATTCTATACATGGCCGGGAAAATTATTTCCTAGTAATAACACCCCCCCCTATGGCCATGCATTTAGAATCTGAAAATTGGTTACATGTATCTCTGTGCAATATGCATTAGCTAGCTAATGTATAGTTAACAAATATAATACTAGTAATTACCAAGTTCTTCCACAAACTCTAAATTGTAAGATGGAGATACATTCTTCTTAATATGTTCCATTAAGCACCTCTTGCATATTGCTACAAGACAAGTAAATAATGCACATTATGTCAAAGTACAATTACACTCTTTTAAACAGAACTTAATTTAAGGCATATACACATCACTATTTTTAAATTCAATTCCATTAAATTTCTTAAGCTTAACATATGTATTATAAATAGTGATCACCTGTTGTACACTGTTTTAATGGATAATATTTTATTATATAGCTTTCAATGAGTGCCTTAATTTAGATTACAACATTTAATGCAGTTTCCAATAATGGGCCTAAATGACAATCTCCTTTTTTCATTAAAAAAAAAATATAATGGTTTATGTAATTTTCAAATAAATTCCTAACAGACCATATAAGTCTTTTTACTTGCATGCAGTGATCTGTTTGTAAATCACTTGTCATTTTCTCAAATTACTTCATGTATAAGCTCTTTATTTTTCTTGAATTTATAATTATTTACTGTAGATTTATTCCACTCTTTCATTACATAATTCAATGCACTTTTAAAATAATCATTTATTGAAAAACTGATAACTAGGTTCACAATAATTATAACCAACCTGACCCTACTGGTAATATTTGTCTTGTCTTTAACCAGAGTTCTTTGCACAACGTTGGACTGGCACCTCTGTCTGGTTTTATCTTTCCCTGGTGACTAGGATAAGAACAGGTTCGCCTGGGTCATTTCCATCTTGCCCCCAACTCTTCACGGTGCTTTATGCATATTTTCATCGATAGAACGGTTTTATCAACCATGAAATACCCACTTCGATATAATATTAACATATACTCAGGGCATTTGTGGGCATCATAAACATGCTTGTGTATAATTTCTGCACTTTGCAGAGAATATAGATGGTTCAAAATATCTCTGTCACATTCATATAAATATGAAACGTTTCGGCAATATCACAATCAGATTCACCATCATGAAAGTCACACACAGGTGGTGCTTGCAAATGAACCTCCATTTCCAATTATAAATAAATCAAATCAACAATAAAAATAATGGAAGTCATTCTGGTTAAAAAGATCTGACCACATAGATCTTAAAAGTTTAACCAAACTCATCATGATCACTGTTTTTGACCTCCATTTGACTTCCGTACTCTTTTCTACCTCCTCTGCCTGGAGATTGCATTTAAGGGGAGGTAAATCTTATAATTTATTTCATAGATACAAAACTTATCTACCCAATTTAAACAAGGAATATATTGATTTAACAAGTATTTATGGCCAGAAAATATTTTTTTTAATTAATTCAAAATTTTAAAAACGTTTAGGGTCTAAATGTCTAAAATATAGATAAATTCAAGAATGACCTAGAATATGCTTATTCCATAAATGTATGGGTCAATGTTAATCAATTGTGCAGTAAACCTTGAGAGTCCAAAGATGGATTTTTTTTCAGATTTGATTTAGGTCTTCTAGTTTTATAATCTAGTAAAAAGGAGAAAATACAAGCGTTTACGGGTACATTTATACCTAATTCAAATTTGGCATTTTCTGAGGCATCTAGCAAAGGTGTAGACATGCCAGTATTCTAAATTCTGCCTAACCTTAATAAAAGCAGTACTGTCAAAGCAACCTTGTTTTATTGAAAGAATAAGACATAGATAACTAATATATAAATACAAAGTTTGTATGAATTGTTCTCTTATTTTCATATTTTGGTACTCAAAATATATCGTTTTTAGTATTTTTTTTCACAATTTTCAAGGGATATTTGGGCCATTATGTAAAATAGGTCAAAGCTAAAAATAGAACAACATTGAGAGGCAATTGAATTCAAATTTTGGACTTTCATGGGATACTCTTCCAGTTTTATACCAGTTTTAAAATATTTGAGATGTAAGCTTGTGGACCATTTTTGCCATTTTGCATGGTTTTCTCTGAGACGCTCACTTAAATTTTTAAGATGTTTTGTAAATAATACTTCAAAACGTCTATTTACAGGCAGGAACAGGCCCTTATCTCGGTAGTTTGAAAAAAGCGATTTTCATGTTTTTCGGTTTGCCTCCTTTACATTTAAACAACCTTGGTCTTATACAGTGGCAGTTAAGAGGCTTTAAAAAAGATGTTCGAGAAAGCAAGTTCAGATGGGGAATATACTTAACAAAAAATTTACAGTTTAAATATTTATCAAATGAAAGAGATATTTTGATATATGATAACATGCACGTACATGTCTTGTTTTAAATGATGATTTATTTTCATACTCTATTATGAAAGAGCATGGAATATCTATTTTCTACTTTTCTCTAATTCGCTAACAAGATATTTACATACGACGTGTAAGAAAAGTTAACTTTGATTGACTTTTACGTGTTCGTTGCAAATAGTATATAAAGGCATGCATGTTCAGGTTTGATCAAAAGAAAAATTTCTGTTGCATTCTTCTTTTCTTTCTTCTGAATTAAAAAACATGAAGCAGCTCCGAATTGTATTTCTTGGATCGGAGAAGGTTGGCAAAACGAGCACTATTAAACAGTTTCTCTACGGGTCATTTCAAGAGGTGACCGAAGCAACTCTTGGTGAATGTTACAACGAGACTGTTTGCCTTCCCAGTAAGTTATACTCTTTCCTTTTTTGACAGCTCATTCAACTTCACTCACTTAAAAAAAAAATCTTTCGCTTTTTTTTTTTTTTTTTTTTTTTTTTTTTTTTTGCAAGTTGATTTTGTTCATTACTGTACAAAACTGTTCTTTCTTTTGCAGATGGCATCTGTCAACAAATACAGATTATTGATACAGCTGGCAGCGACGAGTTTCCAGGCATGACAGATTTAAACATCAGAAATGGAGATTATTTTGTCGTTATGTATGCTATAGATGATCACCAGACTCTTCATCATGCGTTTAAATTGTGCCAAAAAATTAGAGAAATTAAAGGTAAATAAATTCTTACCGATATTGTAAAGCTATTTTCATTCTGATCTTTTGCAGAATTTATCCTGTATTTATTGAAGATTTTAAATGTAAAAAAAAATTAATAAGGTTCAATATTTTTTTTTTCCAGGAAAGGATTTCAACCGAATAGTGTTAGTGGGAAATAAAATAGACTTGAGCACTTCAAGACAAGTAACTACAGAGGAAGTCTTCCAAAAATCCTCAACTGATAAAAATTACTGGTTCACTGAAACAAGTGCAAAACTGAATTGTAATATAAGATGTCTTTTTCAAATCATTTTAAGAAACTATATAAAATCAGAAGACTTGTTCCTCGATAAGGAAAACACGAAAAAGACAAAAAGCAAGAATAGGAATACAAAAGTAATACGTACTAATTCAAGAAAAACATCTATACAAAATCTGGTGTATTCGCTTCAAACCAAAGGGGAATGGAAGCATTAAGATGAAGTACTTTTTATTTATTGAAATTATAGATGTATATGATATCAATCAACATTGCATAAATTAATTTCATTAATACCATTAATTAAGGATTGCATCTGTTTTATCTAAACATTGAATTAATGTAATCTTATCATGCAGAGAATAAAATGGCGAATAATCTTTATTTTTGAATTTTAGATAATAATTTCTGGTGTATCTATCAATAGATCTAGAGAATTACAATAGACTTCTTAAGCGAAGAGCAATTCCATCTTTTTTTGGGGGGGGGGGAGTATAAATTAAGTTTGATTTAAGGCTTTGTGAACGAAATGACGGACAATGGCAGGCATGTACTATTGAATTAACGACGTCACAAAACACAATTCGATTATCCCCATTTCTTTTAAACATTTTCCTCCCAGAAAAGGTGAAGCCTTTTAAACATGTTTGTAAAATACTTATGCCTAAGTCCAAGGGAATAACTCCGACAAGAAAGGCTCGATCGTAATCAGTACAGATCTTGACCTACACTGTAAGAAATGTGTTTAGAATCCAAACACTTTTCTAAACACTTTTTGTCCCATTCTTTTTTATATGTTTAATTCCTAAACATGTTCAATTTCTAAACACGTTTGAGAAAGTGTTTAGAATCGAAGCACATACGTGTTTAGATTCTAAACACTTTCTCATACATGTTTAGAATTTTACGTGTTTAGGAATTAAACATATAAAAAAGAAGGTGACAAAAAAGTGTTTAGAAAAGTGTATGAATTTTAAACACATTTCTTAATCATGTGCTTAGAAAATAAACACATCTAGATTTAACACATTAAAACAAGTGTACATGCAGAAAAACACTTGTAAATTTTGGCACAGACAGCATACTTAATACACATACATGTGATATTATTGTCAAAATTTTCAAAATATTAATCGATATAAATTATTTATCATAAGGCCCCTTAACATTTAGATATGCAGATACTTTACAATTGTGTGATGTACTTAATTTACACAAATTTAATATGATATCTATACGTTAAATCATAGACCTAAAACGACGTTTTAGGTCTATGGTTAAATCAGCATGAGATGTATTATATTTATAACGCAGACTGGGCAACAAACTATGCATCTTCAAAATTATACACAGTTTTTTATTTCAAAAAATAAGCTGGCAACTTTAGATAAAAAATTCCCTGAATTTTTTTAAATGCTTTATTAAAGATATTTAAATTAAAATTACAAAATGTTTGTTTTTTATATATATATATATATATATATATATATATATATATATATATATATATATATATATATATATATATATATTTATGATTAATTACACAGTTTCAATCAGTTGCAGAGTTTTCCATATGTCAGTCACCAAATATCAAACTTGATTAATTTTCAACTGTCCTAAAGCACTACATAGCACCACATGATACAATATCCCACCAGTAACTCCCGAAAAGTAATCCATTTCAAATGCACAAGGATAATTTAAGGTACACGTATTCAAAACTGTCGAACATTGCCGAATTAAGGGTAACCCAGTACACTTCATAAGAAAATGTTTCTTAGTGTTGACCATGGAATAACAATTCGCACTTGGAAGATGACGCCGGGTACTTGAAACATGCTTTGAGTTCGATGTGGACTACTCACATAACCTGTAGGAAAGAAAGTCAGATTTAAGTGAAAGTACCGTACGCTGCCAACTGAAGTTGACATCAATTTTTCAAGTTGTATTAAAACTATTCTGATATCAAAATGGTTATTTTTAATGAAATTCAATGTAAACTCCTCTCCTACAAGTCTATAAACGACCCCCAAGTCACTGTTTACATTGCTCATCGTGGTTTAAAAATGTAAATCTTTAGAAAAAGGAAACATACCTTTAATATACTGCAGTAAAAAGATGCCTTTCAAAGGATTTTCAATATTTCTTCATGATTATCCTTTAGGTTGTCAGTAACTCTCCTTGATACGTCACATAAGCTTTTTTGTGATTTGCTTTGTTTCGATGGCCGCTCAAATTAACGTTCAAATATACGAATATTTGTGTAATTTCCGGGAAGATAACTCTGCATTTTACAGCAGAACGTGTTTAATTTCTAAACACGTTTAGTTATAAAACATGTTTAGACATAAGTGTTTAGTTGTTAAACATATTTCTATACATGTTTAGATCTAAACACGTCATGGAAGTGTTTAAATCCTAAACGCAATTTTTACAGTGTAGATATTCTTAAGATAAAGCTGTATACCAAATTACACTATGTAAACCTTTGTTTAAAAAAGGAAAATAAATGGAAACTGCTAATAATGGGATTTTTTTTAATCCAAGCGACATAACTCTGGCAAAATTGGCTTGATCGTAACCAAAACATGATACAGCTGTATATCCAATTTTATGTCAATATGTGAAACCTCTGCAAGGAAAATGAACGTAAACGGATAAACTGGTTGACCAACAGAAAGAAGCAAAAGCAATTTGTCCTCCCTTCTTCGA